CAATTGCCTAGTGAACTATTTGTCACTGGCAACCGATATACATCATAGCCAAAATCAAATGAACTTCGATTCTTTTTTAAGAAGCCGTAAAATTTAAAAATATATCTTAAGATATACATGCGATGTAAAAAAATCAATTGCCAGTCGGTTGTTGTTCGGTCTTGTATTTTCTTATTGTTGCTTGTCTGAATTCCCTTTAAAATGGGCATTTGGTGCTTTTACTATTATCAATTTTAGTTTAAAATGAACTGTTACAGTTTATTTCATCATTAATTTCTTGTTAAGTAAACAATTCAGGTATTATTAACTTTTTATAAACTCTTGTGAAATAAATTAACACTAGTGAAAAACTCAACCACTAACCTTTGAGCTTATTTTTTAAAACATTGCACCATATTTCGATTCTACGACCAGGCAAACATTAAAGTATAAACGTTTCTTTAAACGAAAATTCAGGATTTTGCCTGCAGGTAGGGTGGTCCATTTAAGTTGAAAATTTGTTGGCTTGGTCACTCCACTATGAAGATATGCATTTAAGATGAAAACGAACAATAGAGTCATGCTGTAATCAATATTTATTTCTGTTTCTTTTTTATTTGAAAATGTAGCCCAGGCACGAATTTCAACTTTACAAAAGAAAGTTTCTGTCGGTAGTAAAAATGACTAGATATATCACGAAGGTAATTACATTGTAATAACAAATCCAAATATTTCATCGACAATCCAATAATTCTGTGACGTATACATATCTTAGTAGATCCTCAAATTAGAGTTATTTTATGTTGATGTCTAAATATATTAATTTTTGAGAGGGCGATAGTTACTATGAAGATTTTCCCAAACCCTTGTTGAGTAATCATCAGTCCAGATCTACATTTTGTTATTTAATATAAAGTAGATCTAAGTACACAACACACAATTCTTTAAACTGAATGGGTTGCTCACCTAATTTTGTCAATATAACGGAACTATTAACAACTGGCATATAAGTAAAAGGTTTAGCTAGCTGTTAAATCAGGTTTAATCCCCCAATTCCTTTGGAAAATGTGGAAAATGCATGTTCTAACATGTACTAAGTTATGAATACTGTTTTCCATTAATTCCGTTGGTTGATAAAGTCTAACACTTGAAGTTGTTAGTTTTATGGAAGTCCCCTTTTTGAATATACCTGAACACAACTGAATAATCTATTGTTCAGACTTTTTAGATGAGGTAAAGATGTCCATTTAAGACCTTTTTGTGATGACACGCAACACCATTTATACTTTATTTACTAGTTGATTTTCTGTTCATAAAATACTAGATTAATCAAATGCATTCAATTAAGTTCTGTTTAGTAACTTTTCCAACAATCCAGTATATTGTTATTGTGTACAGGTACAAACAAAAAATTTTTAACAGTCTGAGCTTATACTAAACAGATCTGCATTAATTGCAAGCGGAATGTTAGAATAGTACTGCATTTACCGCAGTGGATAACTCTGAAAATTGACTGAAAGACTGAATAAGACTGAAAATGTAGTGTTCATTCTTTCAAGAGCTGATAAGATCAAAATGACCGTTTCAGATCAAATTTGGTTTATTAGTGTAGCCGGATTATAATCTCGGCGACGAACTCGTTAACTTACTGTGGCTTCGACTAATTGTTTTAAAGATACAAGGCTTAACATTTGGTACGCAACACGTGCGGTTCGTCTACATAAGACTAATCAGTGGCGCTCGACGCAAAACAGTTAGAAGGTCATATCAAATATAATGTTGAGGAATATTGAAAACCAAAAATGAACCATACGGTATAATTTGCATTTTATTTTCTATACATTTAAGACGTAGTTATAGAACTAAATTCTTTTTCGTTTTCGGTTGTTTTTTGTTTAGTAGTTTTGTTTACATATTTCCTGCCATTGAACTTTGTCTCTTTAAACATTCAACTGGCGAAATTTGCTAATTTGAAAATAGTTCAAAAAAAAATTCTACATGCATTGTTTTGTTATTCCAGTGCTTCATTTGTAAAAAAACGTTGTTTATTTTGATAAGGTGAAACATTTATGCATTTCAGACGATGTTCCACCTCCCATTCCTCCAAGATCCTGGAAGCATGGGAAAGATAAATGTATGCTCGAAATTGAATGTATATTAATAACGGTGGTTCCCTTTCACAAGTGTTCTCATAACAGCTCACAATTAGCTGCATCGGGAGAGAACTCTTTGATATATTTGGTATGCCCAGTAGTATAAATGGCAGTATTATAAGATGACTGCATAGTACAATCTACTTTAAAACAGTACAAGCATATGTTGCTTTGCTAGCTGTACGTGCAGATTATCATCTTGAATCTGAAAGATAAAAGAGCTTAGAAAATCATAATGCAACAGAGAAGCTTTTAACAATGTAATTGTTGATGGAATTAGTGTGGTTTTTACAACAACAAAAATTTTGGGACTGAAACAAGAACAAGTTGTTTTATAAAAATATGTTTTTGATCTGGAATTTGGACATAGAAAAAAGAAGCCGTAACAATTGTAAGAAAATCAAGTGTAATTGTCCACTCTTCAATATCGTATAGTCTGTCTTGGTTTTCTTATTATGTGTATAATTTTGGCATTAGTTTTAACAGTCTTCATAATGTTTGAGATATAAATAACAGTTCTGGAAAATGTGAAAAATGTCTTTTATATTTATAACTATGAAGTCGGCCTATCTCATGCAATGTTATATTTTGTCACACAGAATGCATGCATTAGATGAAATGTCGAGAACACCATCAAATGGGGTACTTATGTATGACAGTCCATATGAAGATGAGCATGCTTGTCGATCTATATATATGTCGACATTATATTCTATAAAGGAAAAACTATTGAAATCATAACAGCGCTTCTAAAACGGTTAGGCAGGACTTCCAATCCCTTGAAGAAACTTAAACCAAAAGTAAGACTGAATCGGTAGTAGCAATATAGACACTATTTTAATGTTAAATGACATAGAAACCATATGATATTTTGAAGAACATTGAGAAGTGACCCATCGAATGAAACCAGGAGTAGCAACTTATCTAATGAATGTCAGCCATATTTTTTTTGGAATCAGTGAAAGTTATCTATCAGAAGTACACACTATATAGTTTTGAATCTGTGAAAGAAAAGTCAATTTGTTTGTGCTATTTTTTAAACGAAGGTTACTTTATAAAAGTTCATTTAAACTCTTATCACCAATAGGTGAGGTGGAAATACCTTAGATAATTTAATTATGTCTTTTCATTTTCCCGTGGGGACCTGATTTGATTTTGTTCTGATTTTTATTTTCTTATCTTCTGCCACTCTTTTTAATTCGCTGTTTGATTGTTTCGCAAGTTATTGTTTAGATCTATGGTATAAGATATTGAACATTTTCTACGATATGAAACACCGCTGCTTAACCAACCACTTTTAATTTCCTAGTAAGAGTCATTCCCCTAAACACTGTGTGTCTTGCTATCCCTACTCATTCGGTAAAAGAAAGAAACTGACAATGTGCTTTATAATTTGCTCGTTACATTCTAAGTAGGTATTCCAACAAAAATTTAAGCGATCTGGAGACTCTATATGAGAGTTATCTCACTCTTGTTTATTTGACATAAGTAAAATGTACTTGTAACTGTTTAACTATAAGTGATAGAAACCTACGGTCTTTTGACTTGCGCCGTAATCTACCAAAAACAATAAATGAGGTCCAGATCGCAGGTCAAGATCCTATTCTAATTTTTTTCTTATTATCGCTTAACCTCAGTAACACATATTGACGAAACATTTTGCCTAAATTATTATATGACATGTAAATTTTGGTTGAAAGGGTACGTTCATATATATTTATATGAATTTTCTCCCCTCTTATTTTTAAAATTAACTGCATGTTGCTATAACTTAATAAGCATATATAAGAGAGATCTAGTGTCTTTTTGTTTGAGGTTAATGCCTTCTGACCTGGAAATTTAGGTCAAGGTCAAAGTAAAATTTGACGTAATATTTTTATATTGGTACTCAATAAAGTCACAGGGTCTTTTGCATGAGTTTGCAGAAATTTGGCGTTAAATAATGCCAATCAGATGTGACCATTTGCAAACTAGAAGTATCAAACTATTGTTGTAGTTTCATAAAGTGCCTAAAACTTAAGTTTTATATCAGTGAAAAGTAACGCATCATTTAAAATCGGAATTGAAATTTGTATACAGGTAGTAGCAACGTATCTGCCTTATTTGAAGCAAAAGAAGATAGAAACTTTATATGTTTTTGATTTTGTGGTTAGTAAATTTGGTTTTGAAAACAGGAAGTGACTCTGAGTATACCGGTAGTGGTTGATTAACTCCATTATTTCACCAAAGAGGTACATGTACCATAAATTATGTATATTTGGAATCAATAAAATATTGTCTATATTCTGACACCAGTAATGGCATAGTGAACCTGAAGGTAATATTTTCTAATATTGCTTTTGAAATGCACAGACCTTCAATTGTTCTGTGAACAATTAATTTAATTCTTCTTGTTTTGCTTTAAAGATATACCTAAAAAAATCTTAATTAGTAGAATTTTCCGATGAATTAAAAATAATTGCATCCAGAACGATATTGTATTCTATAGTTTTTACTTTACTCACTAGAGAGGTTTCGACTAAACGATATTTGTATACAAGCAAACTAGAGATAGATAAGTAGGAGGAAATGAACATAGCGTCCTTACTGTAGAATTTGGACAAATGATGCAGAAACATGTTGTGCCATATTATAAAAGGGCTATTATAACACGTATATTGAAAAATAATGGCTCACGGTTGTGCTATATGGTATACTGTTTGCAAAAATATTCCTAAGCAGTAGTTCAATAACTAAATAAAATGTTTGTCCAAATAACAATTTCAATATTCGAAAAAAGAATTATAATTTGCGTAATCTTCACAAATTCGACAATTACTGAATTATTTTGTGTTGACTTATGGTTCTGCCTCTAAATAAATCCAACAATTATCTTTAGTTGTAAATTTTTATTTAAAGAGTCGTTGGATGTCATCTTCGTCTTTATGTCTTGTCGTGATTATTAATCAAATCTGCAAAATACGAAATACATTAAGATTTATAATTTCATAATGAAAATTTAAATAGAGTTTCAGACAAAGAAGATTGGATTGTAATACATGAAATCAATCTTCAATATGGTGGAAAAGTTGATATTACAGGACTATACTTAATTTAAATACGGAGGTGGGACAAAAAAAAAAAACGTTAAATGACAGACTAATACACTCACAATTTTTATAACTCCAAACAATAAGCATAAGAACCTTTCCATACAGGTGCAAATTACCAAAAGACGATCCTTGTATTTTATGTGATCCTGAATTTTCTGTTGAGCTTGAGTTCACTTTCAGTTTTTGCGGGTTTAAGTTGGTTATTTTTTTTTTACTTTTTTGTGTAGTTTTCTGTAAGTCGTGATTTGTCTGTTCGTATTTTGTTACTACTGACCCTGATATTGCATGTATTTCATTAAACTTATCTCCGGGTGGGTACTTACAAGAGCGACACGATGGGAGCTACTAGTGGAACATGATCTGCTTACCCTTCCGGAACACCTATGAATACTTCAGGTTTGTTTATGGGGCTCGTGTTACTCAGTATTTAGTTCTCTATGTTGTGTGTTGTATACTGTTGTTTTTCTTTTGGTCTTTTCTCGTTTTTGATCATGGCGTTATGTGTTTGAAGGTTCCTATGGTATCTTTCGCTTCTTTTTTGAAGCATGTTATTTTAATGCCTCTTTAATATCTTCTTCTCCTACAGTTCTAGTGAGAACCATGTAAAAACTGAACAGAATCAACAGAAAAATAAACAAGTAAGAACCAGATAAAACTGAACAGAGTCAGCAGAAAAATAAACAAGTAAAAACCATGTAAAAACTGAACAGAATCGACAGAAAAAATAAACAAGTAAGAACCAGGTAAAAACGGAACTGAATTTAACAGAAAAATAAACAAGTAAGAATTAGGTATAAACTGAACAGAATCAACAGAAAAATAAACAAGTAATAACCAAGTAAAAACTGAACTGAATCAACAGAAAACAAACCAAATAAGACCCAAGTATTAACTGAACAGAATCAACAGGAAAAAAACCAAGTAAGAACCAGGTATTAACTGAACAGAATCAACAGAAAAATAAACAAGTAAGAACCAAGTTCTCTATGTTGTGTTTTGTAAACTGTTGTTTGTCTTTTGGTCTTTTCTCGTTTTTTTTTTGCCATGGCGTTGTTAAGTTTTAAGGTTTCTATTGTATCTTTCGCGTCTCTTTTGAAGCATAGTTTTTTAATGCCTCTTTAATATCCTCTTTTCCTACAGTTCTAGTGAGAACCATGTAAAAACTGAACAGAGTCAACAGAAAAAAAAAAACAAGTAAGAACCAGGTAAAACTGAACAGAATGAACAAGTACGAACCGTGTAAAAACTGAACATAATCAACTGAAAAATAAACAAGTAAGAACCATGTAGGAACTGAACATTATCAACAGAAAAATAAACAAGTAAGAACCATGTAGGAACTGAACATTATCAACAGAAAAATAAACAAGTAAGAACCAGGTAAAAACTGAACAGAATCGACATAAAAATAAACAAGTAAGAACCAGGTAAAAGATAACAAAGTTAACAAAAAAATAAACTAGCGAGAACCATGTAAAAACATAACACAGTTTACAGAAATACAAAAAAGTGGGAACCATGTGAAAACTGAAAATTGTTAACAGAAATATATAGAAAGGAACTATGTAAAAACTGAACAGAGTAAATATCATTGTATTCATTCTGCCCTTTAATGGATATCTTAGAGCTCCATTTCAAATCTAACAGGTAAGAACAAAAGAGAGAAAAGACTAACAGACATAAGCCTGAAAAAGGGTCAAAACCAGACAAAAGAAACACACAGCAAACAACAAACACACACTTAACATATATGAAAACAGATATTACCTAAAAATTCACATATAAACTCATCCTTTACGCTATTGCAAGTACTTTGAGCTTTAGATAACCATTCCTTATTGCTAACATTCATAAATACGCATCTCCCTACTCCATATATTATTGTATTCGTATTTGACCAGTTGTCATACAAGTTTGACTCTGTTGTATTTCCGGATGCCCATTCATAACTAGTACCGTCCTTTGACTCTAATCCAATCCATGGAGACACTTGTCCTTAAAAAGATAGTTTTAAATGATGCTAATTAAATCTCATGTATGGCACTGTTGATTTCGATTCTCATTTTAATTGAAACATTTGCCTAACTTAGACTTTCATAATTATGTTTGTTAAAATATTTTCAATCCATACCAATGAAGTTGCTATACAGAATTTAATATGACGAAACTCCCAAAACATGACATAAAAAATATGAAAGTAAACAGCATATTTAAAAACAAATTACACGGGAATGTAATCATTGAGTAACAGGAACCCCGCGAGAGCACTCCATATTTTATTATCCGCCTCATTTTTGACATCCTAAACGTTATTGTTATTGTTCTTCATTGCGAGGTTAACGGTTTATATGTTTTCGTGTTATTCTAAGACAGTATAAATTAATAATAAATAGATAAAAATAAAGTTTTCATGTTTTTGCCAGAGCACAGATATACCGGACATTGACAGGTAGAATCTAAATATTCAATTACACTCAGGCCTATTCAAAGTTTGTAAAATTGCACATGAATATATATTTGTCTATTTTTGAGTAATGTACGTTGCCCTTTAGAAGTGTTGATTATTTGTGTCGTCTAGAATCTGCCCAACGGTCAATAATACACACTTCCCCATAAACATGTAGATGAACAAAATATCACATAGACAATCACACTCAGTCACTCTATTCCTCGGCTGTGTCATCACCGAATGAGACTTATCAGTATGTTCTAACCATAAAGTAACATGACGGTAGCAGGATTTGCTTTCCTAGTCGGAGTACCTGACATCAAACACTCTTCTTGGTTGGGTTCAGGTTGATAATTCCTTTGTTTTCTATGAGGTTTTTTGTAAACTTGTTTTGTTTTCGTTTTATTTTGTGTGTTAATGCATGCCGTTGTCAGTTTCCCATCGATTGATTGATTGATTAATTGGTAAGTTAACAACTTTCTCTTCGTTTTAAGAGTTTGAATGTCACCCTGGTATCTTACGTCTCTATTAGGTCGTCCTAAACAACGTTGAAAAAAACGTAATGATAATAAAGTTGATGTTATATCTATGTGAACGCTTATTAAGTTATTAAATAAGTAACGGTTTGGACGACGGTGACGTTTAACAAATATAAAGTATTTTAATATGACGTTTTTCAAACGCTTTAAGTACTTGTGTACTTCATTCCGTAGCAAAATACAAATATATTGTATATTAGCTGATCGGAAACGTCATGATTTGTTTTGGCCATACCAAACACACATCCTCGTAGAAAGCTTTTTTTATGAATGAGGTACCCAAGGTCCATCGGTGTTAGTGACGTCATTGAACGATCGATTCTAACTGTGACGTTAGAATATATGCATTGTACGGTAAGCATAAACGAACGTGAAAAATCTTCACAACATGGAATCATGAACGAACGAAGATTCAAATTGGTTTTCGTAAATGTTCATTATCATTCAACTTGATCCCAAACCTATCTAATCAAATTGGGAATGGAAATGGGGAATGTGTCAAAGAGACAACAACCCGACCATAGAACAGACAACAGCAGAAGGTCACCAACAGGTCTTCAATGCAGCGAGAAATTCCCGCACCCGGAGGCGTCCTTCAGCTGGCCCCTAAACAAATATATATACTAGTTCAGTGATAATGCACGCCATACTAAACTCCAAATTGTACACAAGAAACTAAAATTAAAAATAATACAAGACTAACAAAGGCTAGAGGCTCCTGACTTGCGACAGGCGCAAAAATGCGGCGGGGTTAAACATGTTTATGAGATCTCAACCCTCCCCCTATACCTCTAGCCAATGTAGAAAAGTAAACAATACGCACATTAAAATTCAGTTCAAGAGAAGTCCGAGTCTGATGTCAGAAGATGTAACCAAAGAAAATAAACAAAATGACAATAATACATAAATAACAACAGACTACTAGCAGTTAACTGACATGCCAGCTCCAGACTTCAATTAAACTGATTGAAAGATTATGTCCTCATCATATGAATATCAGGCACAATCCTTCCCGTTAGGGGTTTAGTATCATACCATCATAACATATATGAGAAGAACATAACCCGTGTCATGCCAACAACTGGTTTTTAAATAATTGTGTTTAGTGCCGATGCAAAGACCCTATAAGTGAATCAATATTAACGCCAACATATGCAATCTTTAATGACCTGACAACAGTATCGTAACTATATCCCTTCTTAATAAGTCTATTTAAAGGTTTTGTTAGCTTCAGAGGTGAATACTGACATTTTTGTGCTTTATAAAGAATATTTCCATAAAAAATTGGATGTGAAATACCTGAACGTATAAGAAGTCTGCATGTTGAGCTATATTTACGAATGATGTCCTTATACCGATGATAAAATTTAGTAAATGTTTTGACTAGTTTGTGATATCGAAAACCCTGGTGTAATAATTTTTCAGTAATACATAAATTTCTCTCGTTAAAATCTAAAACATTGTTACATACACGAGCGAATCGTACAAGTTGAGATATATAAACACCGTTAGATGGTGACAAGGGAACGTCACCATATAAAAATGGATAATTAACGATAGGAAATGAAAAATCATCTCTTTTATCATATATTTTAGTATTAAGCTTTCCATTAATGATATAGATATCAAGATCGAGGAAAGGGCAGTGGTCATTGTTAGTATTAGCTTTATTTAAAGTAAGTTCAACAGGATAAATTTCTTTAGTATACATACTGAAGTCGTCATTATTGAGAGCCAAAATATCATCCAAATATCTAAAAGTATTATTAAATTTGTGTATCAGATGTTGTTTCGATGGGTCTTTGCTGATTTCTGTCATAAATTGTAACTCATAGCAATACAAAAAAAGGTCCGCAATAAGTGGTGCACAGTTAGTCCCCATTGGAATTCCGATAACCTGACGATATACGGAATCTCCAAAGCGAACAAAAATGTTATCTAGTAAAAATTCAAGGGCATATATAGTATCAAAGCATGTCCAATTGACATAGCTTTTTTGTTTATTGCTACTAAAAAATGACCTAAAAGAGTTTGAACATATATATTCACATTCTGACTTTTTAAATGCCCATTTAATTAGGTGTGTGAATTTTTTCTTAATGAGAATGTGAGGCAACGTGGTATATAGGGTAGAAAAATCAAAACTTTGAACAGATTCAAAATCACCAATATATGCATGTAATTTATCAAGTACTTCCAACGAGTTCTTGACACTCCAAAAGTAATTAGTTCCACTATTTTCGAAGGCCTTATTTGAACAATTTATTATCAGGTTTTTGATTGTACCAAGTGTACTGGTAAGAAGAATAGACAATTTAGTAGTGGAACAATGGCTTGAAGACGAAATAAATCTATATTTGTAAGGCGTTTTGTGCAGCTTCGGAAGCCAATACATAGTTGGGACTTTCATTGTATTTGGTTCTGCTTGTAAAGCGGTAACTAAAAGTTTATGTTTGTTACAAATGTCGTTTTCTGAAAATGGAGTCAGTTGGAATGTTGGTGAATTGGTGATTTCTTTTTTCAGAACCTCAATGTAAAATTTACGTCAAACAATAATAATATTATTAGCAACTTTATCGGCCGGGACAAAAACAAATTCCTTGGCTAGTTCTTTTAGTTTATGTTTGATACGAGAAATAGGTTTATTGTGGTTATTGTTAAGAGTAAAATTTTCTTTAAAATGTTGAATACGTATATCAACTATGTTCATTACTGAATTAAAAAAAGAGTCCAAAGATTTTTTGTCAGCTTTTTCCCGTTTTATCCATTTCAAACAGTAAGTATGGAGTGAGTCGTGGATGATATTACGACACTCATTCCAATTAATAATTGACGGGGGACGATATTTAGGTCCTTTACTGAGGAATGATTTTAACTCTCGGTCTTGAACGATGTTAAGATCTCCTGTTATAACATGGGAAATGGGTCCATAAATGTATTCGGAATTACTGCAATTACATGAAGTAGGTGTATTTTCACTGATATTAACATCTTTACACAATTGACTATAATTAAACACAAATTTCCGGGTAGATTTCTTGTAAATATAACAAATAAGAGGGAGCTCAGTATTATCAAAATATCCCGGAATTTGTTCTTTAACAGAATGGTCGTTAAGGTGTAATACCACCAAATCATAGTACGTCACATCCGGTTGCATACGAAAATAGGTCGAAAAAAAATATTCCCTTGAATTTGACAGTTGTAGGTAATTGATCCTACATTTCATTGCAGTAAAACATTTCTGAGTCATAAACATATATCTTGGGTATTTCAAAGCACCATTATTTCTTTATTTGGGGTTTCTATAGAATATTTTGGAAACTTGAGGTTACATGGTTACTAACGCTTGTACACAGGTTAAAAAAGGGGGAAAATTTGATTGGTTAACTTCCAGTGGTGGTTATTTTCTTATATGCAATGAAATGTTATGTGAAATTTTTTCTATAGTACTGGACAGGATAAAACTTTACTCATGCCAAGTATTTCTTTATTTGAAACAAAGATAAATTCTGCACAATTTTTTGAAAAGTGCAAATTTAACAAAGACTAATAGGGGAAAATCAATGGTGGTATTACACCTAATATGGGAAGCTGTACATGCACCTTTGACCTTGTGAGTACTCTCATGTGTTAAAATTTCTTGCTATTTAAGTGAAATATTACAAATAATGAAATATTCTGAGTGGTTTGAGTCTCCAAAATACATTTTATGAGAAAATTTCCTTGAAATAGGACTTTACCATGAATATTAGTTGACAGAACAAGCCATACTTAGAGTCTTGGGGAGCTTTTTCTCCTTATTTCTTATATTCTGCTATACTAGAAAATTTTTCCTAAGAAATACTTTAATAAATATATAGTTTTAAGTAAATGAAATTATTTTTAAAGCAGTAACAACAAATTATTCACCAAAAGAGAAGTTTTTTATGTCCCTCTCTGGAACGCGGCGTAAATTTAAGTTTTACGCAAGGACTAATTGAAACCTCCTTGGAGACAGTAAACTTTTATACGGATAGTTCAAGCAGCTTGAATACTTCAATTAATCATTTATAATAACATTTCTATCATAAATGAGTGAAAGTTACCCCAAAAGTTTTATTTATTGGCCTAAAAAGTAGAAATTTTGAGGAAATGAGAGGTATAAATGGACCAAAAGAGACTTTATAAGGAAGAATAAGAGGTCCATTAGTAGTATTTATCATCCTAAAGTCATCTTTTGTATCATATTCAACTGTTTGTAGGCAGATGAGATAAATATTTGATCATTTATTGGTCCACACTATATTCTATCATGATGCGGCTTGGTTTGAATTTTTCGAAGAAATTTTGCTCGAATCGCTGTAGATGTCGTCTTACATTATACTAGATTTTTCTCAAACTATTGAACTGATTATGACAAAACTTGACAGGAATGCTTGAAATAACCAGTATTACAAAGGAAAAAAGTCACATTCAATTTATTCAACAAAAAAGTCTTCTTTAATATAAGGTGTAATACCACCAAATCATAGTACGTCACATCCGGTTGCATACGAAAATAGGTCGAAAAAAAATATTCCCTTGAATTTGACAGTTGTAGGTAATTGATCCTACATTTCATTGCAGTAAAACATTTCTGAGTCATAAACATATATCTTGGGTATTTCAAAGCACCATTATTTCTTTATTTGGGGTTTCTATAGAATATTTTGGAAACTTGAGGTTACATGGTTACTAAAGCTTGAACACAGGTTAAAAAAGGGGGAAAATTTGATTGGTTAACTTCCAGTGATGGTTATTTTCTTATATGCAATGAAATGTTATGTGAAATTTTTTCTATGGTACTGGACAGGATAAAACTTTACTCATGCCAAGTATTTCTTTATTTGAAACAAAGATAAATTCTGCACAATTTTTTGAAAAGTGCAAATTTAACAAAGACTAATAGGGGAAAATCAATGGTGGTATTACACCTTAAAAATACCGGCAATATTTACAAAATCAAAACCTTTATTAACATACTTTATTTTAATAAACTGTTTTTTATGATCTTCAGGGCGATCAATTTTGGGAAACAGTTTAGAATAACAATATGCCATTATAATTTGAACGATTTCATACTTAGGACTGCTATATGAAATTGTGTTGCAATCCTCTAAAATTTTATTTAACTTATTAACCGGTAATGAACAGAGCTTTGTTAACAGATAATGTCTGCCGTTGTTTTTTGAAATAGAAATTAGGTCCGAAATATTGTTATGATTGGTCCGAAATTTTCTTTGATTGCGATTTTTTCTACGACCATGAGAACGGTTTTTACGAACAGTTTTAGAAACTATATCCAAAATGTTAACAGAATCGGTTCTTGATATATTACCAATTCCCATGATATTATCATTAAGACCAAGAGGGTAGACTGTCTGTAATTTTTTAATCCAAGTTAATTCAATTATTTTCCGTGATCGTACAAACTTTGAATGAGATTCACCAGGCTGCTTATTTACTACTTCTAAAGGTTGAACTGCTAAATATTTAATAGGATGATTGTGCTTCTTAAGGTGTTGATAAATGATACTTTTGAATTTATTGGGTCTTTTAAAACGATACAGATGTTCTTGAGTGCGTTTAGATAAATATCGTCCAGTTTCACCTACGTACTGAATACCGCATCCCGGTTTGTTTCATGTGAGTAAATAAATAATACTGTTTGTTTTTCAAGTTATATCAGTTTCAAAATTTAAAGAAAATGTGCGACCATTAAACGTGGACCTTACCGTATTGTTGGTGGAAAGACGGGAACATGTAAGTCATTTTTTGGCATGACACTTATCGATAGAAGGGTAACCACGATTTTTATTGTTAAAAATGTTAGCGATGGTAGTATTTTTAGATAAGCGATTTTGAAGATTGAGACGTGTAGATACCCTTTGAACGAGTTTAGTATTTAATTTTTTCCATTTCTAAGCTTCATATTTGTTTTTTGTTTGTGAATTATATTAGAAAGGAGCAGAAACTGGCGTCCAGAATATGAACCAGCATACAATGAATTAAATTATGTAAAAATGATAAATCTGTTCGGCTAAAGATGTCAAACGCTATCCGTATTAATTACCCGAAAAAGAAAGGGTATATCAGGGTAGCGACTGACGTCTGACTAAATAGTAGAAAAAGTATGTTATGGTAAATAGGTTAAGCATGTCACTTAATACATTTTCTGCATCCGTTTCGTAACTATCAATAATGTTTTCGATTATTGGAACAGCGGATATTTGCCGTCAACTAGAACGCTTTGATCCAAAAGAATTCCCGGTTTATTAGAATAGAAATAATTCGTGAGGGATAGTTGCAAAATATTCATCATTAAGGGCCAACCCATGTTAAAACTAGTATAAATGCAAGTCCCCAGGAATTATTTCTTAATTTTATTAGATTTTTGAAACCGCATTGGCATAAATCATATTTTTAAACGTTTATCATAGATAAGTAAAACTGTTGCTTACCCAGCCTCTCTGCATTTAATATAATGAAGTTATTTTCCGCTTCGTTGTTAATTTCCACGAGTGTCGCACACATGTCTAAACATGTTGCCTAAAACACAATATGAATATTTACATAGTGTATGGGAAAGTTTGCATTTCTTTCAATGATACTAAAACAAAAAGCATCAACACATAGTTACTCAACATACTGACAGAAAGTTACTCAAATCATATAGTGAAGCCGTTATTTAGACTGAATGTTTAACTAACAAATAAGTAATTGAAATGTTGATAAATGTAAAGTAAAAATTTCTACCATTACTGATCTATTGAAAAGTCAAACATATCAAAAACATTTTTTGACAACATGACAACAACAATATAGATAAATAAAAACCTTTGCTTGCGGATAAGTTTGCAATTCTGCTTTCACAAAATAATACCGGGAACCACCGAATAAAAGGAAATATGGTTCGGTGACGTCATCTGGAACACCTAAACAAAGAAACCGAAGACAAATTGAAATTATGAATTTTTCGGATTCAAGGCACAATACTTTCCGTTCACCTTATTATCCTTTAAATGTATTGACATATATTGCTTTCGCTAGCTGTCCTTGGTTACATGCTTTTGTTTTTCAAGTTTCTTGTTATCTATCTATTGTTTTATTGATTGTTTTGTATTGTTATCTTCTTTTGGTAAACATATTGGGGTATGATGTTCGATCCATACCTTTTTATTTGTTTTACGTATCATTTTACCTTTCTGCATAGCACATTGAACAATTTGTAAACTGATGTTAGAATAATATGATTTATCAAAAACGATAATCAGTTGTCGATCAGTTGCTATCATAGTAATACGATAATTTTGACAATCTTAAGTTAGCGTAGTGTGTTAAACTGTAAAGAAAATATTTAAATTTATATAAAAAAGATAATTGTAACCATTTTTTTTTCTAAACTGGAACATCATTCCATTATAAAATGGTATATTTATATATCTAAGATCAACTTAATTTAAAAGATGAAACATGCATATAAATAATATCAAAAAGATAAACGTATGAGAATATATTACAGGTAGCTTTTATCCGACTCCATAAGCCGGATTCCAAACACCATATTGTGTCATTCCCTCTTAGGGAATGGTCCGCGGGGCAAGTCAGTCTTCCAATACTTCCAACCGTTATATTATGTATGGCAATGTTCATACTCCAACTACCACAGGATAAGGATGGTCGATTTAGACATTTAACTAGAAAAACAATTAAATATGTGCAGTGCGTTTAAAGATATTATTTTAACCTTATTATCTTAGTAACGACCATTACATATGATTAGACATTTTATTATACTTTCATATAGTTAGTAAGTTTCTCAAAATTCTCAAATGTTTCAAAATAGTTGGTTTTATAGATGGATTTTTCATATAACGATAAGACATGTTTTAATCCGCCAGGAAAAATGTATGTCCTTTAATTACTATGATTTATAGAATCAAAATCATGATTACAAAAACAACGAAAATGTCATTAAAAAAAATATATCGAGTTTATATAAAAGAGGGACGAAAGATACCAGAGGTACAGTCAAACTCATAGATCGAAAACAAACTGACAACGCCATTGCTAAAAATAAAAAGACAAACAGACAAATAATAGTACAGATGACACAACATAGAAAACTAAAGACAAAGCAACACGAACCCCACCAAAAACTGGGGGTGATCTCAGGTGCTCCGGAAGGGTAAGCAGATCCTGCTCCACATGTGGCACCCGTCGTGTTGCTTATGATATTACAAATCCGGTAAATAGTCTAATTAGGTAGGTCACATTCGTGAAAAGGGAAGGGTATTGTAGTTACGACATAAGGAACATATCCGATATAATATGTGAAACGGTTATTCCATAACGGTCAACCAACTCGTGATGGCGTCCGTAAAATTTACGAAGGGATGATTTCAACTTCACCATTTAGAATTCTTGGTTTAATAGCTTCCTTGTGAGCAGCAATCCTCTATCAGGGAAATCATGATAGGAAATACAAGCCCGGGAATATCGTATCAATTGGGAGATATATACCCCGTATGCAGGCGCTGCTGGAATGTTGCTACATAGAAATGGAAAGTTCACAATTGGGAAGCTGCAATCATTTCTTTTGTCGTAAAGTTTTGTTTTCAACCGACCATCATTGTCAATTTCCAGATGTAAGTCAAGATATGAGGCAGACTTAACTGTATCTGTAGTATCCTTTATCTCTAGTTCGATGGGATAGATTCGTTCAACATAGTCACCAAATTTTGTATTATTTAGTGAGAGAACATCATCTATATAGCGGAACGCAAAGTTAAAGGATATTGCTAACTTCTTATTTTTCTTCCTAAGAAGTTCCTGTATGAAATCAGCCTCATAATAATAAAGAAACAAGTCGGCAAGAAGAGGGGCACAATTGGTTCCCATTGGAATTCCGACAGTCTGTTGAAAAACTCGTCCTCCAAACGTAACAAATATGTTGTCAATCAAGAAATCAAGCATCTTGATAATGTCAGTTTTAGAGAATTTTTAGTTTGAATCAGAGTGATTCTTTACAAAGTAGGATTTATCCCTCCCCAAGACAAGATACTTGTATCTACGTTCGCCATTCTTTTTAATAAAACAAAGTAATACCATATCTTTCAATTTGTCTTTATTTTGGAATGGGGAATACTTGTGTAAAGTGTAGAAAAGTCAAATATATAATGTATGCCTATATTGAAATGCAAACAGAGTTTTGAAAGAACAATAAAGAAGCATGTTAATGATACAACACATGCCTGCAAACTATTCATATTCGGAAAAGTTAATGTCTTGAAAACGTTATGAATCCTACAATTCTTCACTTAATCATTTGATAAATCGATTTGCTTTACGTTGTCTATGATTGTTGGATAACATCTATTGATGCATGTACTTAATAATTGATCTTTCCACTGTTGCACGTCATTGTTAACTTTCATCAAAACAGTGTTCCCAGACTATATTGCCAATAAAATTGCTAGATTGCCTTGTTGAAAAACGTAATTTCCATATCCAATATACTAAAATTGTTTGTATACTATCAAATGTATCAAATAAATTGAACCGGAATGGTATGTAGACTTAACACAAATTATTTTATTCATGAAATTAATGTTTTATATGTTTAATGAAAGAAGCGACGAAAATGGAAATGCTTGCGCTTTACTCAAGCAAAATATGCTTGAGTCTTAAAAATTCTGCTCTGGAGAATTGAGGTTTCTATAGCAAACTGATTAGAAGGGGACATTTCGTTGACATATATTTTCTGTGTTATAGAAATACAGGTTCTAACCTTAAATTTAATCTCTAAAAAACAGGAAAATTGCATTAATTGCGCCAAACGCGCGGACCGTTTACATACATGGAGTAAGAATAAAAACAGTAGAAAGGCCAAATTCAACAATAGATCTGCATTGATTCTTACAATGCTTAAGTATAAAGTAAGAAATACTTACCAGGATTTGGTTGTTTGTGACATCTTTTACTTTTCACTGAAAGAAACATCATATGTATTAATCCTGGTTAAATCAAAAAATTTAAAAGCTCCATTTCTCGTTGTTTCAGATGAGATCAGAATTTTATGATATTGTTATATCCTTATCGAAATAATAATCAAACTGATTCGTGGGTTAAAGCTATATTCCCTTGAAACATCATGCAAAGGTTATGGTACTTCTTATTAAACCACTCTCTTTACCTATTAATAAAACTCATTCATGAAGTAGACATACTAGAGCTATGCATTCTTTTGTTATCCTACCTTCTATAGATTTATGGGGATATGATTGGTTAATCGACTACACGTGGTGACCATATATATTTCATATAGGGTGTCCTAAAAAATACATGGTTAGTTACCATATACGGTTAGCAACCATATGGGGTTAGTAAGGGGTTACTTCCCTTTTAAAACAAAAATGACATCTGAAAGGTTTAAACAGACGAAGAAAATGGTAAAAAACGATTGAAATACATTCATAAAACAAATTAAAAGCTAACACGTTGTTATTGTTGGCATTTGTTTTTTGTATAGACAAAAGGAAGTAGGTTCTTAAACATGTTAAAATTAAGTATTGAAGTCTTTTAAATCACTTTGATAGGCAACTAGTCTTAATACCACATGGGAAGATAGTCGGTAAGATAAATTCGTTACACGGCGTGCTAGTGACCTAATACGATATATATGGGGTCAGTAAATTCCATATGGGGATTCGAGCTTCGCTCTCACCCCATATGGAATTTACTGACCCCAATATATATCGTATTAGGTCACTTACACACCATGTAACTAATAATATACTTCGCTGCATTTACAATATTTAAAAGTATTTGTTCATTCAACAACAATATAGATACATTATGTCTAGGAAAAAACATAATTCTTTTCATAATCAGTCTAAATTCACAATGTAAAGTTCTTATGCCAGTAGAAAATAATTAACACACAACGTATGTAATTTATATCACACGTGTTTGTAAATTCATGGATGTTCAATCTGTTAATGCAGTATGGAATGAGTCACGTGATTCGATAAATGTTTCTTTATCAATACAAATATGACAAACAAGAGGTTTAATTTGATCGATATCGTACTGTACAATTCTATACATTAAAATCTATATCAAAATTGAGATTGTTTTTAGTCGAATGTGACATTCCTTATGTATGTATAAAAATCATCAAGATATGCAACATCCAATTAAACATATATATTTTTTAAAATCTTGTTTTTACATGGAATTCGGGTAGATAGATATCAACAAGAAGACAGATACATATGTGAACGACCATAATTGATAGAAAATTGATCTGTTCTCTTCTACATATTTCTTAAGTAATTTATTAATCTTTAAAAAGATTTTTTTATATTTTCAGAAGAAGTCTATAAAAAGGACCAACCAGCAAATACAATATGTACCTGATAGTCTAGAATAGACGTTACTGCACAGACAAGGATAACAAATTATAAAAGTCTAAAGATTTGCACAGCGGTACTTATATAACATGGTAATATACGAAGATGATGTTATAAACTCGTATTGACAAATATTTCGTTTGAACAAATAGCCTTCGTCAGTGCCAATAATTTTAACAATACTGGTTGTTTGTGTAAAATAGCTCAGTAAATATGTAAACATATAACGTCTAGATATGAGTCAACAATCTTTCTTACTAAACATATATATATACGTGTGTGTGTCAAAGTATTTACCCGACTATCCAGCATTGTAATATGAGCTGTTTATATATGTTTATAGTTAAAACGGAGATATAATTTAAATTTAAAGCTTAGGCTGAAAAAATTTCTATGAAATATATGGCTTCTATGAAAATGCCTTGACCAATATAAACGAGAATCCAAAGACTGGAATCATTATGTTGAGTTAAATCATAAAATGTATTTTCAATGCTTTTTCTACAATTCTATATGAAAAAAACCCACCTACTTTCAATGGCTAGAGGATATAACATCACCAAAATAACTGATAATTTAATACTTGATGACTTCATTATTGCCGATGTAACAGTGCCCAACGATAGTTGAGTAACACGTTGGACGGAATACAAACAAGCAAATGTTGATATAGTATATCGGTACTGACATATTACAGATGAATACTTAAATAAATCTTTCTAACCAATTAGAAGATAAAATGTGTTCAATCTGTTACTCGTTTATATAATTTTTTTTTATATTCATTCAAGGGAAACAGTATTGTATCCGTTAGCATATGAGAAACATATTTTTATAAACAATAGAAATTAAAGTAATTCGATCTAGTAGGAATTGAAATCTTAATCTGCCATTCATTATATAAAAAAAGGAAAAGCACATTTTATAATTGCATGCGTTTGCAGCGCTTTTCTGGATTTACTTTATCAAGAACGCTCACTGCCGAATATTTGAAAGGAGAGTTGTATGACCAAAATTGGCATTAAATAATAGGCAAATGAATCTTAGGTCAACTTTGCTTGAAGAAGGCGAAATCTCTTTTTCTCAATAATTTTTAAAATTTTTTTATAAACTGACAATTTAGAAATGTTTGTTATAAATCAGGTCAGTACCGTCGTAGTACTAGCTACAGAGCTAAAGATACCCTGGTGGAAAAATAGTCAACTAGCAACAGTATCGACCTAGTGCTGTAAAAATTAAAACAACATTATATATATATATATATATATATATAGGTATTTACAATCGTCTAATCTAGAGTATTATCAATTTGGAATGTATTGCATACTCACTTGCATCTCTTTTTACCCGTCTGTTGTACATTGTTGTGTTTAACAATGATTGTTTTACATATCGTTATTATTGATTGACGTAAAAGAAAATCAAAACAAAACAAACTGTACAATAGGATAAATATAACAAAACAGTTGTTGCAAAAATATGTAGGAAGCTTAAAGATTGACAAATCAAATCATAGTCTGTACCAGGAAGCAAGTGTATCTATTTTTAAGTTATTCAACATTTCTAAAGTCAGATGTGTTTCAGTACTCGGAAATTCCACTATGCATTCTATTTCTTTTAAAAGCAATATCCAAAACTTAATTTAGGTTTGATTTTGGTTAAAGTTTAACTGTGAAACTCATAATTGTGGACAGTATGGCCATTATGAAATATTTGTATGACATGTTCTCACCTCACCTGTATTATCTGTTCTATAATAGGTTGATTTGGCTAATGCAAAATATGAAGAGCATTTTTTTTCGTTTATTTATGAAGACTGTTTAACTTGAACATTAAATGAAATCAATATATGTTTCAGCGTATTTTCATATTATATTTTTTTTCATATAAATATGTTTATAATCAACAGTCTTTATAGTCACTACTTTGTGTTAAAAGAATGAAAAGGTTAACGAATGCGCACCATTTTTCAGAAGACTTCGGCCGATGCAAAATAGTCTTATTTTGAGCGAAGGACTACCGAACGACGCCGAATCACATTTTGGCCAAAAATGCACATCCGGTTTTCCTACTGTAAGTGAGAAAAGTGACGGAACAGGCGCATGGATGATACGACGATTTGCTTCCAGAGAGTGAGCATTTAAAATGCATCTTGCATTACGCATTAAAAAAATAACCCGTTGATTTATGTTAAGTATAAAATATTGTTAGCTCTATTATAATATAGATATTCAAAATCGTGTTTTCAGAAATGCTCACATTGGGAACACATTGCTTTTTCACTTTCATTTTTCTTTTCGTCATAATGGTTGACGTCTCTTGTCCATTATTTTGTAAAATAACATCTAATAAGTGTTAAATTGTCGCTCTTATTGATTGACGTTCTCGTTAAAAAAGGAAAATCATTCAATTTTAAAACAAAGATGTTAACAAATAGTTGTTACAAAAATATTTTGCACTTTTAAAGTTTGACAAATCAGATTATTATATACACAAGGACGCAATTGTATCAATCTTTAAGGTATTAAAAATTTTGATATATATCTGTTGCAATAAATATCAAACATTGGGAGAATAACGTATATCTCCAACTGAATGAAATCCATATCAATACATGTTTCAGCTTTATACTAGTCTTGGTCATTTTTGACGACAGAAAAGGACGATGGGACATCAATCCATGTTATTTGGACTCTGTTGAGTTGCTGTCAAAAAGGCATCCATACATCATGACTTATTTTGTTTTATATAGCAACATATTTATTTGAATTCATAATTTCATTAATTTTCATATCAATAAATAATTTATTTTGAACATTTCACATTCTTCCATAACATATGAAGACTCTTGAGATATACTAATCAATTTATCGTTAACCTGTCTCTTTTATGCTTTGGCAATTCAAACCTTTCAGGACCCATTGTTTAAAACAATTAATCAACGTCTGACTGCAGATGATCTCAGATGTAATTTGCAAAGTTTAAAGGTCACTACTACCTTTATCAGCTTTCTGGATGAACCTAAATGTGCTAACAGGTGTTATGGAAATTAACTGGTGATATTATTTTAATTACTTCATAAAAAATAAAATATCTAAAAATTGTTTATAGACACCCGTTTAACTACCAGTTAACTACAGATAAACATAACTTAACCACCTAACTCCTAATAAACCGTACACTTGCCAATATATTTCCAATACCAGAGGCACATGAACAAAATTGCACGTAACATGGATCTTGTCTATATACCAGCTTTGATTATTTGGTATTACTACAAATTTTCACTTCTTCGTACTATGAACATCAAAATTATTTCATTTCTCCTTAAATTCATGCACCTGTACATGAAGTTTTATCTAGCACTTATTGTATAGTTTTATTGTTGATATTCACCCCATATGTACCAAGTGTTAAATTAGTTCTATTGATAAAAGAAATTTCTTGGTATTCCTAAACGGAAGATTTTATACACACAGAAGAAGAAATTTCTAAACAACAAAATTATTTTCATTTACCTGTGTAAAATATGACGCAGGTTTTTTCAAAAAGTGATGATTTTCTTAATATTGTTTTACATTTCACAGTGGTATCATACTTTAACTTTGTTTAAACCTGTTTATTTATTTTTGACCTTAATTATTTATCCCTTATAATTTTTATTAACTATGTATTTGCATTCAGGTATCACAGATCACATTTATTCGTTCATTGTGTGTTAATTTACGTTTTTTGATTGAGTTAAGCCTTCCAATTGATATTTTATAGTGTGTCTTTCTATGTTGTTATGTTATACTATTGTTTCAGAAAAGGGAGAAGGTTTGGTATTATTAAAACGTTTAATCCCGCTGCAAATGTTTGCACCTGTCCTAAGTCAGGAATCTGATGTACAGTAGTTGTCGTCTGTTTATGTAGTTCATACGTGTTTCTCGTTTCTCGTTTTTATATAGATCAGACCGTTGGTTTTCCTGTTTGAATGGTTTTACACTAGTAATTTTTGGGGCCCTTTATAGCTTGCTGTTCGGTGTGAGCCAATGCTCCGTGTTGAAGGCCGTACCTTGACCTATAATGGTTTACTTTTATGGATTGTTACTTGGATGGAGAGTTGTCTCATTGGCACTCATACCACATCTTCCTATATCTATTGAAATGACAAAAATAAAGCGTTAGTTGTTGGCACTCACATTTAAACCCTTGGTTGAGAAAACTCTTTTTTATTCATATACCAAACTGTGCTTACTTTTTTTGCTATACACTAAATAAAGGCAACAGTAGTATACCGCTGTTCAAAAGTCATAAATCGATTAAGAGAAAACAAATCCGGTTTACAAACTAAAATCAAGAGAAACACATCAACTATAGAGGAAAACAACGGAACAACAGAAGCACTGAACTGCAACAAAAACAAACGCCAACATCCATAGAAACAGACTATTTGAGAACAACTGCCATGTTTCCGACTTGGTACAAGACATTTTAAGAAAAAAATGGTGGGTTTAACCTGGCTAGCCAAACCTCCCGCTTATATGGCAATGTTAAAACATACCGCTAAAATGACAACACTACGTGACAGGAATACGGTGCAAACAAACGCAAGAACACTCAGCACAGAGAAATACACAAATGAATAATATAATAGTACATTACAACATGTAAACCGCAGACTAACACATGTTAAGGTATTCACAATAATATAATCATTTGTTTTATTTGGTTTTTTTTGTCTTCATTTAAAATACATTTTTTTGTCATTTTCACCTCTTTCAGTCATAATGCTGTATGTCTCTTATCCATTTTTGTGTCCAACAACATCTTAATATTGTTTGAGTTATCGTTTTATTGATTGAAGTTCTCGTAAAAGATAGAAACGAAGAATATTTCATTAAGGTATGCAGATGTTAACAAACAATTGATAACTAAATGTCTAGGAAGTTTGAAGATTGACGAATCAATTAACAATATGTACAAGGAAGAACGAATATCTGTTTATGCATACATCTGCCACCACATACATCGGACATAGCAATAATATAATCGCTAACTTAGTTGAATCAATATATAATAAACAAAAACACTTTTTTAAATTTCTAGCATGGGAAGCACTTTTTGGATGTACTTTCATCAGGAACACCCAAATCCTATCATTTGAAAGCCAGGAGATGTATAAATATGGATATACGCTTTAAGCTATACGATCAACAGACACCTTTCAAAAGGAAGGAACAAAAACCCACGATTCTAGCTAGTCCGCTTTGTTTTATAACAACTAGGATAGTCTGCTATTGAGATCAACCGGACAATGGACAAAAAGACATAGTTACAGACTTATTCATATTGATAACTACTTTTCGAATGTACATTTTTCACTGATATAAGAAGACCGTTTCAATAAAAATCTTAATGAGTCGTAAAACTGTTTGCATTGTAGCTTGAATGTCTTTTGAATAATCTAAAATGTGGAATGAAACAATATTTATATTACGTGAAATCGCTGTCAAAATGGATTTCGCTCATTCCAAGTTGTTTCTTTCTTTTCAACTTTCCTCTATGCATTATGTTAGAAAGGTGTGTAAAACATGTAAATGCAATATCTTATTGAAAAGTTAAGAAGAAGGTTTAATATTAACTTTAAAGCAAGTCATC